CCCACACGTAGGGAGATATCTATCTCTCCACTAGCACGTGCCATCCAAATACAGGAACAAAATCAATCATCTTCCTCATTCTGCTTTCACTTTCCATTTTTCATCTGCTTTCGAAGCGAAGAAGACTTGTTCCCTTTCAGATTGGCTCAAGCACCAAATCTCCGAACTCCACATCCACCATGTCGGTAAGTTCCGTTCCTCTCCTCTCCATTTCTCTCGACTTCTTTTCCGATGGATCTATGGTTACTTTGAATCGGCTGTTTGTTTTCATGTTTCCATGTTCTCTGTTTGTTTCTTTGGAAAATTTTCGACACAATACTCTCCATAGATTAAAAACGTGTGCTGATCCAGATTATCTCAAAAGATAGAAGTGAGAGAGTTGCATTATGGAGCAAATGCCTTGTCTTTGCAGAAAGGGACCTTTCTGTGACGTCTGTAACTTCTGAGCTATCAGTTATTTCCTCTTTCTGTTGTCTGGGTCTGGCTGTGTTGGTTAATTGGAGTGAATGGGTTCCAGCTAGGTGGTCCTGTTGTGTTTGGTGATTGTTTTTAAAGCTGTTTCTATAATGGATGCTGTGGTGAGTCAATTTGGTCTCCCAATGGAAGCAATGTTATAGAAGCAATTATGCAGTGAAAAGATTAGGATGCAAGCTTAGAATTATTATTTTTAACCTTATTAAACTGGAATTTAAATCAAAATTGTATCTTGGAGTCTTGGACCAACCGTGATTAGACTTTAAAACCCTGGTAAATAATCCTTCCTTACTAACCTCTTTCTACCAGTTAACCACCATAATTTAACCCCAGAAAGTTCTTTCTTTTTTTAACCTCATCACTTAACCTTGTTTTTGAGCTTTCAACTTAGTGTCAAATTGCATCTGAGTCATCTTATTATCTCTGTGCAGTATCTGTAAGACATTGTGTGTGTTGGTATTCTATATGACCCTTGAGCTCGGTTCAAATCTAGAATCTGATGGTTCTTGAGTGTTGTTATTATTGCAGGTAAAAACTGTGAAAGTCAGCAATGTTTCTCTGCAAGCAACTCAGCGAGACATCAAGGAGTTCTTTTCTTTCTCGGGTGATATTGAATATGTTGAAATGCGGAGGTCTGTTCTTTATTAGTTCATAGTTTCAATTTTCTTCTGTTTGATTCATTCCAAAGTTAAATGACATACTTGTGCAGCAATGATGAACACTCTCAAACTGCATATGTTACATTCAAGGATGCACAAGGAGCAGAGACTGCTGTACTTCTTTCGGTAATTTCTTCAGCCTTCAGAGTCCACATTACGGCACTACAGTTGTAAATTGTGATAAATTCCCCATCATGTTCACTTAACGTTTCACATGCATGATGACGTAGCATGATTCAATGTTTCTCCTTGAGGGAAAAGTTGGCAAGAAGATCTTCAATGTCATTTTAGTAGATCTAATACTGCTAAGAACTGTTACTTTGGAAATTTATTGTTTAATACACATTTGCGGTGCGTGATGCAGCCTATGGCAATAGAGTCCATAGACATCTTTAGCCTACCTGATAATGGAAACGAAACAAAACCTGCTGTGTGATACATTCTGATTTATGTAAAATGTTGACTAACCTTGGATATACTTTTGTGTTCTAGACATGAGTCTGTGGCAACTCTTCGGTTGACTAGAAATAAAGTTGAATCAAATAGCCTGGCTATCTATGAAAAAGACTAACAGAAATTTGGAAAAGACCCAGCAAGTAGGGCAGAAAAATACCATGAGGATTGATGAACAGTGCTTTTCCTTGTTTTAACGCTCTCTGGGTTCTTAGACTTTAAATTAAAAAGTGGTAATAGAAATTACCTCAGGTTCTGTAGAAACAAAAATAGAAATAAATAGCCACTTTATTACTTTATAAAGTTATGGAGGATTACCTGAAACCCTTGAACCTGTGTCCACTTTACATACGCATCTCATAGCCACTAACCTAGATTTTGTTCATTCTGGCATGTCTACCAGTATCTGCACCCTGGATCTGACATCATTATCAATTCCAGATGTATTCTCTTTTTTTGGTGTGTTAAAAATGCAGTCTCTTTTTTATGCAATAAGAGCGAATATCTGCTTTTAAACCTTATGTTATTTCAGGGAGCGACAATTGTAAATTTATCTGTCAGTATTACCCTGGCTCCTGATTATCAGCTTCCTCCTGCTGCTTTAGCACCTCCTGTAAGTTTTTTACATAAAAGTTTGATAAATTTTCTATGTGCTAGAACAAAACTTATATGATGTCCTATGTTATGCAGGCAACTGAAAATAAAGCTCGAGGTGGTGGTGAATCTGCTTTGCGAAAGGCAGAAGATGTGGTCACCACTATGCTTGCTAAGGGATTTATCTTAGGCAAAGATGCCGTCAACAAGGCAAAGACCCTTGATGAGAAGCACCAGTTAACTTCAACGGCTTCATCTAAGGTAGTTTCTTTGGACAAAAAAATAGGGCTAACCGAGAAGATAACTGCTGGTACTACTGTAGTGAGTGGCAAAGTCCGGGAAGTGGATCAGAAATTTCAGGTTTCAGAGAAAACCAAATCAGCATTTGCAGCTGCTGAGCAAAAGGTCAGTAGTGCAGGATCTGCCATGATGAAGAATAGGTATGTGTTTACTGGGGCTTCATGGGTAACGGGTGCCTTCAATAAGGTTGCAAAAGCAGCAGGGGATGTTGGTCAGAAGGCAAAAGAAAAGGTGGAGGTGGCTGAAGAGGAAAGGAAGCACAAAGTGGTTGATGACTTTGCTAAGGTTCATCTGTCTGAGTCCCCTATAAAACCATCTGCACCACCAAGTGAACATCAACCTTCAAAACCCGAACCAGCTCACGGGTTGATTCTCTGATTAGCTGCTTCTGTAAATACTGCTGAAGATCAGAACTCTCATCTCTTAATTACTTGCCCTGTTGTTCCGGTATTGAAATGGATGAATGTAATACAGGTTTCCATCTTGTTTGATATAATGCTCTTAAATCTTTTGAACTTTTTGTTTTGCAAAATGTTAATGAACTGAATATTTTTCTGATGTTATTGGCTTTCTCATCATGCGTGGTTTATCATCCGCGTGGTTCTAGATTTTACTCATTAGTTTGCGTTTCTATGTTGAGCAGCTGAGGTGTCTTCTCCAACATTCCATGTTAGTTGTATGGGTTAATTTGAAAGATTGGGCATACAACGTTTCAACCTTGCTGAATACAAGCATGTTAAAGTGCCACCCAAAAAAAATAATAATAAATAAATAATAAATAAAACTTGAAAGGTAGGTCAGCGGCTCTGCTGTCAACGACGGTGAAGACGAAGATAGCTCGAGTGCAGCAGCTTGAGAGAAGAAGCAAAGGTGGAAGGCAAGGTTTCTGGCAAATGGTGACCGGTGGATCAACATTGCTATGCCAACTGATCGAGAACGGAAGGCTTAAGAGAGGTTTCGATGGCGAAGTCTGGACTGCCTCACGACTTCAGTTCTGGAGTCGAAAAGTTTAGCCTTTTCAATTTTCATTGGGGCAGAGAGATGATGAGGATCGGCCCAACAACCAAGTTTGAAGAAGCCCATTTAACGATAAAAATCTCTTTTTTTTTTTTCTTATTGAACTAATTTAGAATCAAATTATTACGCTCGGAGTTTATAAAAGAAAATTTTTTTCAATATTTATTTTTTCATTAATAAGGTTCGAACTCGAATTTAAACTCTTATTTAAGGAAATCGAATTTATTTAAATCAATTACTGGTATAAAAATCTCAATTGCCTACTCTCTAACAAGTAAATGTCAAAAATATCTCGGCTAATCTAGGGAAACTCGTTCTTAAGATATATTAAGGCAATAATTTCGATCTAACTAAAAAAGGAAGATTCTTGTGCATGTTCATTTTAAAATTTACAGTGATATAAATTTTTTTATATAATTTTTATGTATTATTAAATAAATAGATA